GAGGGAGGGAGGGCATGGTCCAAGCCCGGCTGCGGTACGACAGACAATCCCATCGACATCGTTAGCATACCAAGTAAAATTAAAGTGTTTGCATTTATATGCCGTCCAAATCTTAAGCACTTCAGCGTGAACTCGTACAGGAAGCATTCACAAGAGCAAGAGAGTAAGGGAGGGAGGGAGGCAGGGAGGGAGGTAGGGAGGAAGCGGAGGAATGACGGTGTCGACGACAATCAGGAGGAATCCCTGTTGTATTGGTACGACAAGAGCCCTTCCCGCGTTCGTTGAGTAGTACCAGACTCTCATTTCCTTTCGAAATGGTAATATTATCATGTGTTGTGCCGTATGAAGGGGGGTAGGCGGGTCCGAGGAGGCGAACTTCAAGGGAGGGAGAGAGGGAGGTCTGTGGTAGTCCGAAATGCGATCGATAAACCACACAAAAAAAGCCACTTGCCCCAGGTATCGCCCGTCTAAAAGGTATGGCATGTCACTCATATTACAAGGTCTTGGACGCTGATTTTGCCCAACCCTCATTGGTTGCAAAGTGCAATATTATCGTTTAAGACGAGTCTCGGTTGAAGCACCGAGAAAGTTTCTCGTTTGTCCAGACTTTTACTAAATGTGCTTTATTGTCACGGAATATTTCTTCTCACGTTGTGCAATATTTTCAAACCTTCACACTTTCGGCCACGAAATTTTGGCACCATGCGAGTAAGCTTTCAGTATTGCGTTGTTTAAGTCTTCCGACAACTCCTTACAGGCACAGACTCGCTTGCTCTATTGCTACACGATTTGTGATGAGTTTTTCATCCCATTCCTCCTTCGACGTGGACGTTTTGGTATGCGGCGCTGGAGCTGTAGGACTGGCCATCGTCCGGGCATTGGCGAGGTGAGAATTACAGGGAGAGAATGGTGTAGATTTATTTTGGAGGTCAGGACAAAGGGGGAGAGGTGGGGAGGTTGAAGACAGTGTCGTCTCGAGCTTTCTCAGATGATTGCCCCGCGCCCCGCCCCACAGATTCATCCACATTTCCCTCTGAACACATCGCATGATCCGTCATGCCTAGGGCGGGACGGGAGGTCCTGGTGGTGGAGGCAGAGAAAAGCCCTGGGGGCTCAGCCTTCGATGCGGTACAGTGAGGTACGTCGGTCTGTGGAGATGTTGTCTTAAAACGCCATTTTCCCTGTGGAGTGGCACGTGCTGCGTTTCATTGTGCACAGAGGATTTTGTGCTCGTATCATAGTAAAGCCGGAGGGAGATGTGGGAACGCATTGGATTGATTCGTCCTTCTCCCTCCGGCGCGGTCCCTCTTTTCGATCTTTATACAAATATATATATTGCCACGACCACTTTCTCCCCTACACAAAGCACATTTCATCTGTTCCTTCCATCCGCGTCTCTGTTATGGCATTTTTCTGGACGTGTCTAGGAATGTACGACCCCCCGAGGCTTCCTAAAAGCCGCCCTCTGTGTACGAGGTCGACGCCCCCTGCCTGCCTGTTGTGGTGAATATGGAGGGCCCTACCACAGGTAGGACGGAGGGAGGGAGGTAGGAAGGTAGGTAGGGAGGAAAGGAGGGAGGGAGGACTTGAAGATGGAGTAACGATGCCTGAGAAAGGGCGGGGATGGATCCATGTGGCAATGAATTGTTGCCTCGGCGAATATCGGCAGCGCCATCCATCGGAAAAATGCGTCGAAAGCGGAAGTGTTTCGTCCATATTGTGGATAGACCAAAACGTTGTCTGAAAAAGCGCATCGGAATCGAATGCACCTGTCGATCTTCATTCAGGGTGTATAAAGAAACCACAAAATCAACGTCGAGGGACGTGGGGCTTTGCGGATTGATACATACGTGATGAAGAGCCGCCCCAAAACGTAAATATATCCATAAATATAAAACGTGAAAAAAGGAATGAGCATCTGGAACGAATCTCAGCGAAAAAAGGGCGAGGG